CCTGCGGAACCCGCCAAGTGGTCCAGACTGTTGTTATGATGTCATATAGGGCAGTCTGTGCACAAACTCCACCCTCCCTCAGCATTTCGCTTGGGAGATCATCTCTGCCCGCTGCGTTTCCTGGTCTCAGACTGCGGATCGCCTTCAGTACTTCCTCAACAGATGGCACTTCAGCCAGCCACTCACTGGCGGTGACTTCTTCCAATATTTGAGGCACCGCAGCCTCAGCAGGGTCTTCCTCACTTTGTGCCACGATGTTTTCCTGGCTGAGGGATTTTCCCTCCCCCAAGACCTCACAGAAATGCTCAGCAAATCTGCAAACCTGTTCCTGGGGGTCGGAGATTGGATCACCGTTTTTTCCCTAATGATGGTAATAGGTGTGGCGCTGCAGGTTACTTTTTTGATGGAGTTAAATAGAGATTTGTGATCGTGGGCCATTGAGGCAGACTCCATCTCCTCAGCAACCCGCGACCACCACCCATCCTTGCAGTGCCTCACGGCTCTCCGAACCTCCGAGCGAAGGCGGTAAGCCTCCTCATTCTCTGATGTGGGATTCTGTAGCCGATGACAGTGGGCCTGTCACTTTTTCTCAACCATCCTGAACACCTCCTCTGTCAGCCAGGGTCTCTGGGGAGGTCTGGACCGCGTACCCAAAGCAGCCATTGCAGCTGCATGAGTCACAGTCCTAAACCTCGCCCATTTACCCTCGACATCAGGAGGAGTGCGGGACGATGCCATCATGACCAATTCGGGCATTGAAGTCACCCAACAAGATAACTCTATCCCGAGGGGCCACTTTAGCCAGCACCTGTGACAGGAGGTCATAGAAGGCATCTGACTTATCGGCTTTGCCTGCATCTCTCCGCGGATTTTCGTCTTCGGTGGGGGCATAAGTAACCACGACCACCAATCCTCGCCTCCGATTGATGGGAAGGCGAGCCCAAAGTAGCCTGGGGCTTACAGCTTCCCACACCTCATCGCCATGCTCCCACGCTCCTTTCATTCTTTTGTTCAAAAGAAGAGCCACTCCCTGTTGTTTGACAGTCTGCTGCCCCGAGTAGAGGACTATCCACCCCTCATGGTGGCAGGAGCCAGAACCGGTCCACCGGACCTCCTGAATGCCACAGAGATCCAGGCGGTACTGGTCCAGCTCCCGACAGAGGAGTGACAGCCTCTCCTTCGCAGTGAGCGTTCGAACATTCCACGTGGCCAAAAGAAGTGGCTTTTCGTTGTTTCTGGAGGAGCCCCGAGGGTAGAGATTAAATCTCTTGGCTCCGCCAATTGGGGTTTGGCCAGGAGACGTCATAGACACCTGGCCCCCCGGAGCCTCCGGCACAAGCTAAATTAGTTATATACTTAATTCGCGGTTTAGTGGTAATTAATTGAAGGTGGAGGGGTTACCAGCCCCTCGCACCCATCCAGAGCCCGCCGTTTAGCCCCTGTGGTGGACACAGATGCCATGAGGGGAGGAGCCAATCGAAATTGGACCTCCCCCCCACAGCACTGTCCACGACAGAGTTGTCCGTCCGGCACCGCGAGGAGGTAGGGGGTTGTTTTGCCGGACTATCTCACACACACAGGTATATACACAGACAATCTCACACACACAGGTACATACACAGACTCTCTCACACACACAGGTACATACACAGACTATCACACACACACAGGTACATACACAGACCCACACACACACAGGTACGTACACAGACTATCACACACACACAGGTACACACACAGACTCTCTCACACACACAGGTACACACACACACATGTACATACACAGACTATCTCACACACACAGGTACATACACAGACTATCACACACAGGTACATACACGGACTATCACACACACAGGTACATACAAAGACAAAGATCCCCCGTATAGCCTGTAACAGACTGTAGGGGCAAGTGCTGTTAGCGAGCACCTATGAAGGCCGGAACGATACACGAGGGGGTGGGTGGCCAGCACCACGCCCGACCGCCTTTGTCTCCCCAGTGGCAATGTTTTTATCCACCGCACCAGGTACTCATTTGAGGCTGAGTCGACCTAGGGGAGGCCCAGGTGTTGGCCGTGAGCGGGAATCGAACCCGGGTCGCTGGGTTCGTAGCGCAGCGCGCTAACCGCTACACTACCGCTCCCCAACAGGTACATAAAGATAAAGATCCCCCGTATAGCCTTAACAGACTGTAGGGGCAAGTGCTGTTAGCGAGCACCTATGAAGGCCGGAACGGTACACGAGGGGGTGGGTGGCCAGCACCACGCCCGACCGCCTTTGTCTCCCCAGTGGCAATGTTTACACACCGCACCAGGTACTCATTTGAGGCTGAGTCGAGCTAGAGGAGGCCCGGGACCGGTTCAGATAATCGTCACTGGTGTTGGCCGTGAGCGGGAATCGAACCCGGGTCGCCAGGTTCATAGCGCAGCGCGCTAACCGCTACACTACCGCTCCCCACAACAGGTACATACACAGACTATCACACACACACACAGGTACATACACAGACTATCACACACACACAGGTACATACACAGCCTCTCACACACACACAGGTACATACACAGACTATCACACACACACACAGGTACATACACAGACTATCTCACACACACAGGTACATACAGACTATCACACACACACAGGTACATACACAGACTATCACACACACACAGGTACATACACAGACCCACACACACACACAGGTACGTACACAGACTATCACACACACACACACAGGTACACACATAGACTCTCTCACACACACAGGTACACACACAGACTATCACACACACACACATGTACATACACAGACTATCACACACACACAGGTACATACACAGACCCACACACACACACAGGTACGTACACAGACTATCACACACACACACAGGTACACACACAGACTCTCTCACACACACAGGTACACACACAGACTATCACACACACACACACAGGTACATACACAGACTATCACACACAGGTACATACACAGACTCTCTCACACACACAGGTACACACAGACACACAGGTACATACACAGTCTATCTCACACACACAGGTACATACACAGACTATCACACACACAGGTACACACACAGACTCTCTCACACACACAGGTACACACACACACAGGTACACACACACACAGGTACACACACCCACAGGTACACACACAGACTCACACACACAGGTACACACACACACACACAGGTACATACACACACAGGTACACACACACACACACAGGTACATACACACACACAGGTACACACACAGACTCTCACACACACACACAGATACACACACACAGGTACACACACAGACTCTCACACACACACACAGGTACACACACACACGTACACACACACACACAGGTACACACACACACACGTACACACACAGGTACACACACACACGTACACACACACACACAGGTACACACACAGGTACACACACACAGGGACACACACACACAGGCACACTCGCACGCACCGTTCGCCTGTCGTTACCTGTGGGTGTCCCTCCTCGGGGTCCGCCACACCGCGCACCTTGCGAGTGGCTGGCGGCTCAGTGGAGACGACGACGAGAGTCCTGCAGACAGCCCACAGCGGCGTGGAGTGTCCACGTGGGAGTGCGTGCGTGTGTGAGAGCGTGTGTGTGTGTGAGAGAGTGTGTGTGTGTGATAGTGAGTGTGGGCGTGTGTGTGTGTGGGCGTGTGTGTGTGATAGTGTGTGTGTGTGAGAGTGTGTGTGTGAGTGTGTGTGTGAGACTGTGTGTGAGACTGTGTGTGTGAGTGTGTGTGTGAGACTGTGTGTGAGACTGTGTGTGTGAGACTGTGTGTGTGTGAGTGTGTGTGAGTGTGTGTGTGAGACTGTGTGTGTGAGACTGTGTGTGTGAGTGTGTGTGAGTGTGTGTGAGACTGTGTGTGTGTGATAGTGAGTGTGGGCGTGTGTGTGTGTGGGCGTGTGTGTGTGATAGTGTGTGTGAGAGTGTGTGTGTGAGTGTGTGTGAGACTGTGTGTGAGACTGTGTGTGTGAGTGTGTGTGTGAGACTGTGTGTGAGACTGTGTGTGTGAGACTGTGTGCGTGTGAGTGTGTGTGTGTGAGTGTGTGTGTGTGAGACTGTGTGTGTGAGACTGTGTGTGTGAGTCTGTGTGTGTGAGTGTGTGTGTGAGACTGTGTGTGAGTCTGTGTGTGTGAGTATGTGAGTGTGAGACTGTGTGTGTGTGAGTGTGTGAGTGTGAGACTGTGTGTGTGAGTGTGTGTGTGAGACTGTGTGTGAGACTGTGTGTGTGAGACTGTGTGCGTGTGAGTGTGTGTGTGAGGGTGTGTGTGAGACTGTGTGTGTGAGACTGTGTGTGTGAGTCTGTGTGTGAGTGTGTGTGTGTGAGACTGTGTGTGTGATAGTGAGTGTGGGCGTGTGTGTGTGTGGGCGTGTGTGTGTGATAGTGTGTGTGAGAGTGTGTGTGTGTGTGAGTGTGAGACTGTGTGTGTGAGTGTGTGTGTGAGACTGTGTGTGAGACTGTGTGTGTGAGACTGTGTGCGTGTGAGTGTGTGTGTTTGAGTGTGTGTGTGAGACTGTGTGTGTGAGACTGTGTGTGTGAGTCTGTGTGTGTGAGTGTGAGACTGTGTGTGTGAGTATGTGAGTGTGAGACTGTGTGTGTGAGTGTGTGAGTGTGAGACTGTGTGTGTGAGTGTGTGTGAGACTGTGTGTGTGAGTGTGTGTGGGCGTGCGCGCGTGTGCTCGCTGCGAGGCTAAAGTCACAATAACCACGCGCAGCTGTTCCCTGTAGGAGAATGTGTGCTTCACGCACGCAGGGCGCGGGCACACACACAACATACACATAACACACAACACACACAACACACACACAACACACACATAACACACACAACACACACATGACATACACACACATGACATACACACACAACACACACATAACATACACATAACGTACACATAACACACACACACAACACACACACACAGACACACACATAACACACACAACACACACATGACATACACACACAACACACACATAACATACACATAACGTACACATAACACACACACATAACACACACATAACACACACATAACATACACACAACACACACATAACACACACAACACACACACAATACACACACACAGGCACACACATAACACACACAACACACACATAACATACACACACAACACACACATAACATACACACACACACAACACACACACATGACATACACACACAACACACACATAACATACACATAACGTACACATAACACACACACATAACACACGCATAACACACATAACATACACACAACACACACATAACACACACAACACACACACATACACACACAACACACACACACACAGGCACACACATAACACACACAACACACACATAACATACACACACACAACACACACATAACATACACACACACACACAACACACACACAACATACACAACATACACATAACATACACACAACACACACAATATACACTCAACACACACACAACACACACACAACACACACATAACACACACATAACACACACAACACACATAACATACACAACACACACATAACATACACAACACACACAGACACACATATAACATACACACAACATACACACAACATACACACAATACACACAATATACACACAATATACACACAACACAACCACAACACACACATAACACACACAACACACAACATACACACAACACACACATAACACACACAATATACACACAACACCCACAACATACACACAACACACACAATATACACTCAACACACACAACACACACAACACACACACAACACACATAACACACACAACATACACACAACACACAACATACACACAACACACACATAACACACACAATATACACACAACACCCACAACATACACACAACACACACAATATACACTCAACACACACAACACACACAACACACACACAACACACATAACACACACAACATACACACAACACACACAACATACACACAACACACACAACATACACACAACACACACAATATACACTCAACACACAACACACACAACACACACACAACACACACATAACACACACAACATACACATAACACACACAACATACACACAACATACATACTGTGCCAACCTGCTGTGCTTTAGCCACCCGGCGCTCCGCTCGTTGTTGTGAGCGTCGCTCCTCCACAGTAGCGTCCTTCACGAGCCTCCTCCACAGAGGCCGATCTTGACACCGCTGGTACCAGTCATCGGCAAGTCCACTCAGCTCCACGTCCTCCTGTACCACATCACTCCATCTCTTCTCTAGCCCGTGCCGCGCCCGTTTAGCCCCCTCGATCCGGCCGAACAAAAGCTGTTTCGGCATGCGGTGGCTGGGCATGCGGGCTACATGACCCAGCCATCGCAGCCTTGCCCGCCGGAGGAGATCACCGATGGGACTTTATCCAGATCTTTCGAGGATTTGTGAGCTCACACAATCCAGTCTGGTTAAACCCAGGATGGTTTGTAGGCAGGCCAGCCTAAATGTTTCTAACCGGCGAAGATGTTCCATTAGGGGGGTCCACGTTTCGCAAGCGTAGAGAAGGGAGGGAATGACCGTGGCCGAGAAGACACAGACACACAGACATACACACAGACACACAGACATACACACAGACACACAGACATACACGTAGACACACAGACATACACGTAGACAGACAGACATACACGTAGACACATAGACATACACGCAGATACACACGTAGACACACAGGCATACAAACAGACACACAGACATACACGCAGACACACAGACATACACGCAGACACACAGACATACAGTGAGAGAAAAAAGTATTTGATCCCCTGCTGATTTTGTATGTTTGCCCACTGACAAAGAAATGATCAGTCTTTAATTTTAATCGTAGGTTTATTTGAACAGTGAGAGACAGAATAACAACAACAAAATCCAGAAAAACGCATGTCAAAAATGTTATAAATTGATTTGCATTTTAATGAGGGAAATAAGTATTTGACCCCACTGCAAAACATGACTTAGTACTTGGTGGCAAAACCCTTGTTGGCAATCACAGAGGTCAGACGTTTCTTGCAGTTGGCCACCAGGTTGGCACACATCTCAGGAGGGATTTTGTCCCACTCCTCTTTGCAGATCTTCTCCAAGTCATTAAGGTTTCGAGGCTGACGTTTGGCAACTCGACCCTTCAGCTCCCTCCACAGATTTTCTATGGGATTAAGGTCTGGAGACTGGCTAGGCCACTCCAGGACCTTAATGTGCTTCTTCTTGAGCCACTCCTTTGTTGCCTTGGCCGTGTGTTTTGGGTCATTGTCATGCTGGAATACCCATCCACCACCCATTTTCAATGCCCTGGCTGAGGGAAGGAGGTTCTCACCCAAGATTTGACGGTACATGGCCCCGTCCATCGTCCCTTTGATGCGGTGAAGTTGTCCTGTCCCCTTTGCAGAAAAACACCCCCAAAGCATAATGTTTCCACCTCCATGTTTGACGGTGGGGATGGTGTTCTTGGGGTCATAGGCAGCAATCCTCCTCCTCCTCCAAACACGGCGAGTTTAGTTGATGTCAAAGAGCTCTATTTTGATCTCATCTAACCACAACATTTTCACCCAGTTGTCCTCTGAATCATTCAGATGTTCATTGGCAAACTTCAGACGGGCATGTAAATGTGCTTTCTTGAGCAGGGGGACCTTGCGGGCGCTGCAGGATTTCAGTCCTTCACGGCATAGTGTGTTACCAATTGTTTTCTTGGTGACTATGGTCCCAGCTGCCTTGAGATCATTGACAAGATCCTCCCGTGTAGTTCTGGGCTGATTCCTCACCGTTCTCATGATCATTGCAACTCCACGAGGTGAGATCTTGCATGGAGCCCCAGGCCGAGGGAGATTGACAGTTCTTTTGTGTATCTTCCATTTGCGAATAATCGCACCAACTGTTGTCGCCTTCTCACCAAGCTGCTTGGCAATGGTCTTGTAGCCCATTCCAGCCTTCTGCAGGTCTACAATCTTGTCCATGACATCCATGGAGAGCTCTTTGGTCTTGGCCATGGTGGAGAGTTTGGAATCTGATTGATTGATTGCTTCTGTGGACAGGTGTCTTTTATACAGGTAACAAGCTGAGATTAGGAGCACTCCCTTTCTGATTGAGAGGGCGTCAAATACTTATTTCCCTCATTAAAATGCAAATCAACTTATAACATTTTTGACATGCGTTTTTCTGGATTTTTTTGTTGTTATTCTGTCTCTCACTGTTCAAATAATCCTACCATTGAAATTAAAGACTGATCATTTCTTTGTCAGTGGGCAAACGTACAAAATCAGCAGCGGATCATATACTTTTTCCCTCACTGTACATGTAGACACACAGACATACAGACATACAAGATTCCCCCATATATAACCTTAACAGACTGTAGGGGCAAGTGCTGTTAGCGAGCACCTATGAAGGCCGGTAACGGTACACCAAGGGGTGGGTGGCCAGCACCACGCCCGATCGCCTTTGTCTTCCTAGTGGCAATGTTTACACACCGAACCAGGTACTCATTTGAGGCTGAGTCGACCTAGGGGAGGCCCGGGACCGGTTCAGATAATCGTCACTGGTGTTGGCCGTGAGCGGGAATCGAACCCGTGTCGCCGGGTTCATAGCGCAG